CCCTGTGGAAGTTCCGGGGGGGGGGCAGGAAAATGGCCAAAGTTACCCACCCCTGGCAAATAGCACGGCTTGAGACCTAGCAAAGGAACCAAGGACAAACTTTACAGCTTCACGACACAGAAGAAAAGAGTGTGAGGCCATTGGCAAGTCATGCCCTTTTAAAGCATCCTGAACTTCCACGGATCATCAAGTCCTGTCTTACGTTGAAGCCCAATGAGTTTTAAACTTGATGTAGTTCTGGAGACTGGGAATATCCTTCAAGGGATGTTTATCTTCCCCTAATGATGCCCCAAAGAACTGCGAGCACACCTGTTTTGCTACGGCATGGGGAAATCGAGAGCCCCTCTGTGTTGCCTGCTGTTTTATTTTGGCTGTTAATATTTTTTACATTTTCCTGCCGATATGGAGAGGCAGAGAAAGGTAATGATGCACAACAGCATCAACGGAGGGCTGTCTTCACCAGAACATACATAGAAGAAGAAAAAAAAAACACACTCTTTCATAGCAGCTCAAGCGTACTTACCTAAGAATGTCGCCATACAGGTTTGGCATGACCAGGACATCAAACTGTGATGGATCCTGCACCATCTAAGGGACAAGAGATTGGGAGCTGTTTCGGGAAGGATTGGAAAAGAGCTAACCTTAAGCCCTTTGCCACGGGTCTGTACTATACTCACATTCAGACACACAGTGTCAAGATACATTTCATTAAACTTGATATCTTTACAGTTCTCAGCCGCTTCTCTGCATTTCCTCAAGAACAGCCCGTCAGACATTCGCCTGCAAATTAACAAACGTACAAGACAAAAGAACAGAATGTTAGGGGGCCTAAGCTAGTCCTGTGGCCAGTGCATAAGAGAGACAGCATTCATTTAATCCCACTACGGTGTTAACAGGGCACAATAACACAGAAGGTGCAGTCTGCATTCAGAAGCTAACCGCCATGTTACAAATTTAGTATTTTCCACTGATCCTAAGTGAGTCGTGCATTTTAAAAGGAAGACAGCAAGGCGAGGTCTTAGGAGTACGTTCAGGGCAAGTAGTTATTCCATACTATTGCAAGCCATCTCTGAAAAACATCCACTCTTGGAGTCCAGCCCAGCCAAGAGGGGCTCTCTTACACTACTCCGACCATCGCCTACAATGCAGATGATACAGAGGGCAACCAGATGACGAGACAAGATTGGATCCTCTGGGATAGATTTCTAACTCATGAGAAGGGGACACACTCGTAGGAGCGAAGAGGACACACTGGGCACTCACCAGAGGCCTCATTCAGGACAGGAGCACCTAACCACCTAACGCCAGCTTGGCATCGCTATTCAGAGCTGCCTCTTCAGAGGTTGCACCATCTAGGTTCAGCATGTTGAACCATGACCCTCCACGTCCCTGTTGCCATAAAACCTCTGTGGCTAAACACCAGTCTATGGGCCATGATCCCTGTTACATAAGCATCGAATCCACGACGTTCGTCGTGCACGCAGGTGGCACCCTTTCGCAGAGTCTCCGTCACAAGACCACTCAACATGGGTCCTTGTGCAACTAATCTAGTAACATGTGCAACAGAGAACACCCCAGAAAGGCCAATCCCTCCCTTGCACTGTCACCACTGTACAAATTGTTTTGCGGCACGCCACATCACGTTTTCCAACCTCCTGAACAATTCACTTTCAGGATCTTTAACCCCCACCCCTGATCTACCCTACAAATAAGAGGCAAACCAAGAGACTCTTCTTTTCTGCTTGTTCAGCAGCGTCAAGAGACCGACACAGAGCTATGACGAGGAGCCTCGGGGCGCAGTGGTTAAACTGCATGACTGCAGTCAAAACTCCGCTCGCGCCTTGGGGTTCAATCCCAGATGGCCGGCTCAAGGTTCACTCAGCCTTCCATCCTTCTGAGGTCGGTAAACTGAGTACCCAGCTTGCTTGGGGGGTAGGTGGGAGAATGTGTAGCTTGCATAACTAAACTGTAAACCACCCAGAGAGTGCTTTAAACACTGTAGGGTGGGATATAAGCAGAACAATTTGCTTTTCTTTTTGGCCTTACTTTCTTGGATTCCAACTTGCAGAACTGGATCTAGAGCCGAGAAAAGAATGTTCCCAAGCAATAAGGAAAGTGGGAAGAACAAGAGCTTCATGGTGCAGTTAAAGAGTTACACTGCATTAGACCACAGACTGTTTACGTGCAGGGATCTGTCTAGGGACTACAATTTAAGCCCATTATTCATGCAGTAATGAACTCAGCTAGTTCTTTTCGGTTACATTATTTAGCCAATGTTGCAGTTTAATTTTACTAATCTGCATTACTGAGTATCAAAGTTGTATAAAGAGAGAGCTTTCTACCAAAAAACCCAGATTCTTTAAATGTTTATTTCCTAAGCTCATTGATATATATGATCATTGTCACATATGTTACTGCCTATCCTGCTCGCTGTTCAGAAGAACACAGCTCTATCTGTATCTGTCCTACATCTTTGAGAACCTGGTACGATCCCAGATTCTCATCCATCCATAGCACCCTCTCTGCTGGGGAGTTAAGAAAACACTCCTGCGTGAATGTGGGCTCCTACTGTAACAATAAAACATCAGTAAAGCTTTTGAACATTAGAACGAGGTTACACAGTTAGCAATCACGTACATAATGTTTGCTTTATGCACGGCCGTAACTTTGCTTCTCTGATTGTTTCTGGCGTATTCGAAAGCAAAATCAGCAATGCGCTTGCTCGCGTCCTCCGTGATGAGTTTGATACTCTGGACGACACCATCAACAATCTGGAAAACACACCAAAAGGGATGTAGGTAGTAGAAAGCGAAGTTAGGAACAGAAAAAGCTGAGTGGCGCCCACAGGGTTAATTTGGCGAATCATCAAATGTGCGGAACACTGCACACCAAAATTAAACCTAGTTTAATTGCATTATGGTCAAGCGTTAATGTCTTTGAACAGTTTCCAGTACAAAGCGTACAACTTTTATATATATGTATGTATGTGTGTGTGGTTGGCCTCCAACCTACCAAGTGCTCAATCCCACTGTATTCGCCTTCTGTATTCTCTCGTATCGTGACAATGTCGACATCGGCGTAGGGGGTTTTGTAGCCTTCGATCGACACGCACGGGCGGATATTGGCGTAAAGGTCGAAGGTCTTACGGAGCAGCAGGTTCATGGACGGGTGGCCAGCAGCGATGGGCGTTTTCAAAGGGCCTGGAACAGACAAGACCTTGATGGCTTCACGAGCTTATATCAACCAAGAAGACTAGAAAAACAAGAGATTTGGAAAGAGATGCAGAACATTTTCACGTACGACCAGATCGTGCCGATGCCAAATTGAACACAACAGTTCTTTGTTAAGATGGAACAAACTTAACACTCTAACTTTTCTTTATTCTCTCTCTTTTCCCGTATGAAAAAGAAGCTCTAAAGCACCTTTCAGCCCGATCTTGTTCTTGTCCATGGATTCTTTAGCGTCTTGAGGGATCATCCACTTCCCGCCAGGTCCCTGGATTGCCGACACCTGCCTCTCTTCGAAATGAACGGGAGCCTAAAACACAATTGGTACATTTTATTTAGTTAGTTCGTTTTGATTTGTTTTATTTATAGGCTGCCTTTCTCCTGATCAGGGGGAGACCCAAGGTGGCTCACAATATTAAAAAGAACAGAATCAGAAACATAATGAGTTGAACATTAAAAAACCAATTAAACTATATGCTCGTCAAAATACAATATTGAAGAGTTAAAAAGTAAACATCAAAAACCGGCTTAACCCCAAGAAGGCATCCAGGGATTCAATTATGATTGAAGAGACAGGTGACACTGCACTCATTTGAGGTTTTAAAAAAACCCCATCAGCAATAATAAAAAGCCAAAGAGATTTTGTACTAGAACCCTGTGACACACAGTACATCATTCCCAGAAATGTAACATTTCCAAAAATTTGCATTTACTTCTGAAAAAAAATGGGGAAGAAAAAAGGACACCCCCCCCGCCATGGAAAAATGTATGCATGTAAAGTTGTCTAGTGAGAAACTTCCATTTCCAACCCTAGTTTTTTTTTTCCTGGGAAAAAATGGAAATTTTCAAAAACTTCCGATCTCCAAATCTCTGACGCAAAGGTTTCCAGTCAGATTGGGGAAAGTTTCCCGGGAACACAGGAGATGAGAGGAAGCTTCGAAAAGGCTGCAGGAATTTTTTAATCTCAACCACCGTTATGGTTGCTGTGTGGACAGAAACAGCAGGGTAGATCAAATAATTCCTTACTCAACTCTTGGTACGAGCAACCCACCTACGGTAGTTCCCGATAAGAACAGAAAGATCACTGGAGTGATTCTCTCCCATCCTGCTTCCTTTTCACATGTTGCTCAACAAAGCCAGGGTCCTTCAAAGCTCGTACAGTTATGTGAGCTTCTGCGCACTTTTCCGTGGATTTCAAGGAGAGGCTAATAAAGCTATCAATTTGGTATGGTTTTTTTGTGGTTTTTTGTTGTTGAATTCTCTAAGGAAAATTTGACTCGCTTTTTTTGGTAGTCTCTCTCTCTCTCTCTCTTTTTAAAGGAATACGATGTTTTATGAAAATTATTAAAAAAATAATAAATGAAAACATTTGGGAAAATGGAATAGACACAATACTAGTTATTTACTTTCCAAGCGACTACCTCAAGAAGGCACAGGTTTATGGGCGTGGATTTTTGGTCATGCTGAAATCAGGACAGCTGCAGTTTTTATTGGTTTTAATGTTCATTTCTTAAGATCTAAATGAAGCGGAAGAGGAAATCCTGTTATTGAGTTGACCTGTCAGCCCATTATCTTTCATGATAAGGGTTCAAATCTCCTGCTCAGCCACGGAAACCCACTCCCTAAATACTTCAGTTATACTGAAAACCCTGTTAGGGTCACTACAAGTCAATTCCGACTCGACACCAAATAACAACAATGTAAGGAGGAAACATGAACATATTGCTAGAGTGCCTTTACATGGTGTACTTTTTCATTCAATGCAAGCCAAAGAAATCTCTTTTGATGCAGGCCAACCTCTGAATTCAAAGTTTCCTAGAAAAATCCCATCATGGGCCATGAAAACGCTTGATAATATTTGCTGGGGCTTGTACAGAAGCAGTCAAGATTTGTCTGAGGCCAATCATCTAATTTTAGAAGCAGTCCAGATTTCTCACTTGACCATCACCATGGGGAATATCTAGTTCTACATGTACCTTGATTGTAACCTTTGCAAAGGATGATAGTTATGCTGCTCCGGCTGAGGACGGCACCGCTATCGTCCATATCATGCCTCCTTTCCCTTTCTCCCACCTATTTCACCATAGATTTTATGGACAATAGTTCAGAAGTGCATGACACTGGGACGGTTCGTGTATATGTAAGAAACCACAGGGGACTACCTAGTGCTGGCTAGCCTGAATTCCATTCCTTGGAAGAAAGGCTGGTTGGGTAGCCCAGCGGTTTAGGTCTCTGGCTGTGGAGCCAGAGGTGGGGAGTTTGATCCCCTCACTGTGTGCCTCCAGGGAGAAGAGGAAGGGGAAAAAAAACCCAGGAAAGGCAGGATGTAAAATATGAAAGGCTGGTTGGGCAGTCCAGCGGTTTAGGTCTCTGGCTGTGGAGCCAGAGGTGGGGAGTTTGATCCCCTCACTGTGTGCCTCCAGGGAGAAGAGCCAGCCTGGGTGGCCTTGGGCAAGCTGCACGGTCCCAGGGATCCCCCCCCTCCCCAGAAGAAAGGAAGATGGTAAACCATTTCTGGGTATTCTCTACCTGGAAACCTGTGGAAAGAATCACTGTAAGTTAGAATTGACTTGATAGCAAATGATAATATGAAAACAACAACAACAACACTGAATTCACAGGAAACTCAAAGGGGGGGAGGGGTCAGATCTTTCTGTTCTTATTACTCTGTGAACATCATATACACAACTGGTGCGATAAAAGTGAAAACATCACATTGACCTCAAACATATTCTATTTTTTCTTACTACTGCACAAACCCTCTCACTTACTCACAACCGTCCCAGATCTTCTACTACATCCCATTCCATCCCTCCATGCACATCAAGTCAACACAGAGATATATCCCCTTCTCCCCAAAAAATAAAAATAAAAAATCATTTTGGCATAATAACAGGCTTGACAGAATGCAAAGCACATGGTGGATAAAAAAAATCTATGAATTTTAAAAAATCAAGTTGATTTAAATCACAATTCAGAGCATGATTAAACATTTTTTTAAAAAAACTTAAATCATAATAAAAAATCCACATTTTAATTCCCCCCCATTGTGATTTAAATCATGATTTAAAAATCAGTTTGATTTAAATACAATCCGCCCTGGCAAAGCTGCTCCTTGCAGAAGCTCTGGTGCAACCGCTAGGAACCCAGGCCACGCAGACGGCCGCTCTACGGTCTCCTGCAGAGGTGCCCTGTCAGCTACTCATCCCGGGAATCTGTTTTTCAAACAACCACTGCTCTCCCCGAAGAAGGGAAAACACAGGGATTCTTTCCTCCAAGCAAAAGCTCGCTTCCCCCTTTAATGGATATACTGGCGTACCTTAGCTGCTTCGAAAATTTCCACCACAGCAGCAGAGATTTCTGGTCCGATGCCATCGCCTGGGATCAACGTTACTGTACGAATCTAGATATAAAAATAATAATAATAACAATTATAAGAGTACACCTGCCAGATGACGTAACTAAACACAGATTCAAGGAACCCTGTGGTTTGAATGGTGCAGAACAACTGGATCACCCTTGAACCATAGGATGGGCAATGTGTCTCTGTGCATGCTGTTGGACTTCAACTCCCAGCATGCCTCAGTCCAGGCTATACCAGTGAGGGCTGCTGAGAGTTGTCCTCAGACAACTGGAAGGCTCTCCCAACACAATCCTGCACTCCGAGGACACAGACCACTTTGCATGCTTGACAAATTATTAGCTCACCTTCTTCACCATTTACCGTCACTCAACGTATGATCCACATACAGATTTTATTTTCTTTGGGACTCGGAACTTGGATGTTATTGCACTACTATGCTTCTGAAATTTTCCTTCCTTTGGACAGAGGAAATATTTCTGATGGGCTCCCTTGACCTTCTCACCCCAAGGTTTACACACAAAATATTCTAGAATATATACAGTAGGCCCCTTGTATCCACAGGATCAGTATCCACTGATACATCCACAGTCTGAAAACATTAAAAGAAAAATCCTAGAAATGTATATTTTTAAAAATGAAGTTACTATAACTGGCCGTTAGAGAAAGCCAGAGACCATGCTATGTCTAGTGCTTGATATTAACATTGTTGTTGTTGTTTAGTCGTCAAGTCGTGTCCGACTCTTCGTGACCCCCATGGACCAGAGCACGCCAGGCCCTCCTGTCTTCCACTGCCTACCAAGGTTTTGTCAAATTCATGTTGGTCGCTTCGATGACCCTGCCCATCCATCTCATCCTCTGTCGTCCCCTTCTGCTCTTGCCCTCACACTTTCCCAACATCAGGGTCTTTTCCGGGGAGCTGGAATAGTGATTAAAATAACGATCCCTATAATCCTTGTTTTTCAGCACCTGGGGGGGGGGAAATCCTACTGTACCTATAGCGTGAAAGTAACAAATAAATGTACCATATTCTTAGGAGGAAACTAGGGCAAATTAGATAGCTCTTTCTAAAATTCCGAAACATTTAAAAATCTATCCATCTCCAGTGGTTACACAAAGCCACAACCATGACATTGCAAGGTGTAATCCAAGATAGGGTTTCAGGATCCTATCTCTGTCCAGGTTTCTCTTTTGATTGCACATGCATGAAGTATGTATCATCGGCAAAACTAAAAACAATACAAGCCAGCTTAAAAGGAGACATAACTCAGAAGGCAACGAGGCACAGATCTGGAAAAGGCAGCCCTCCAGAAAATGCTGAAATTGGCGAAGAGCGTGCGTGACATCTTTCAGCAATTAACAACCATGCGATTACAGGTGGATAATTCTAAAACGTAACAAACTAAATGAAAAGGATCCGCTCTACGCAAAGCAGGAATGTATTCTAGATAGCAGAAACAGAGGAATCTTTTCCTGAAGGAAATATTCAGAACAGAGGATAAGAAGGTTCTCAACTTTTTTCCCCGTTGAAATTTGGCAAGTATTTTACATGACTAATTTGAGGCATTAAACACAAACAATTCCAATTTTCTTTGACCATGCACTAAAGTTCTTAAGGGCAAGAAATCAAAATCGAGCTTGCCTTCAGATTTATCTAAACTGACAAGAACATGGAATAAGCCGGGTTTCCCTTTTGCCATTCACACCTTTTCTTGAGAAACTTCTTAAAAAGAAAAAAAAGGCATACTATTATACTCACAGTGCTACCAAAACTTCTGGTCACCTGTTTTTGGTTTTGAAAGCCCCCTAGTAAACGGAAGACCTGCAGAAAGATAATAAAAACAAGGGGGGGGGAGATGATTTGGGATAAGCAGGCAATAGAACATCTGATTTCAGCTTCTTCTCTGCTCTCCTAGAGGTCAAAAGACAGATGAAGCTGATTGACACCAGACAAGCAGGCCCATGAAACCATTCTGAACAGCTTCCACACGTCCATCTCAAAAGACTAAAACTATATACCGTATTCTTCGCTCCATAAGACGCACCAATTTTTTAGAAGAAAACAGGAAAATATAATCTGTTTTCTTCGCTCCATAAGACGCATAGACTTTCCACCCCCATTTTGTGAGGGAAAAGTGTGCCTTATGGTGTGAAAAATATGGTAAACACTCGTCCTTTCTCCATAAGGACAGATGAGTGGTTTAGGTCTCTGGCTGTGGAGCCAGAGGTTGCGAGTTCGATTCCCCACTGGGCCTCCTTGACAGGGGATGGACATGATGATCTACAGGATCCCTTCCAGCTCTGCAGTTCTAAGATAAAATTATTATACAATCATAGGCCAGAATTCTATTGGCTATTTGTACCAGAGCAAGCATAAAGCTCTAAATCTCAGGCACAAATGATCACAAGGAAGTAAGCTGATGCTTGAATTCCTCATCCCACAATCAGGGACACCAGAGACTTGCTAACGAGTGGCATTGCCCCGTGCGATTTATGCCACGGCCCTTAGGGGTTCTGGCTGTAATTTTAAAGGTAACCCCAGAGGGCATTATTGGAGGGCTCATGATGGTGGAGGCGAGGGTGTCATTGAATAAGATATCTGCTAGTATCATAACAATTAGACACGTGTTCCTAAGTTCCGTATAATGGCCACATTTTGGAGAGCTGCTTTTGGTTGCCCCAGGATGCAATGGAGGAGAGGGACGGCGGTTTGCAGAACTGCTTTGATTTCACGCCACAACACCCCCAATCTCCTGCAAGCCTCGGAAAGGCATCACGGCAGTCATCATCTGCAGCTTGCTTAGTACATGCTCCAAAGAAAGCAGACACTGGTATCTTTGAAAGAGTCACTGCAGGACAGAGTAATTGCACTTACCGGCTCCAGGGAAAACTCTTAGTAAGGAAAAAAACCCAACACTCTCTAAGGTTATTCCACCTCTGCAGCAAGCTAGAGAAGGTCAGGCTGCTCAAAGGGAGGGCCAGAGGCTACGCCACAGTTAATCTCGGCCAAGTCAAAGCTGCCCCTCGCTCCAGTGACCCTCCATAATCCAAGTCGTCGTCCATTGTCCCGAAAGGACATGGGAGACAAAGCTCTCGACTTGTTTCAAGGAGAAGGAGGATTAATGTAGAATTCCACATTGGTCTGTAATGGCATTCCCAACCCGGTGTGGTACTCAGCCATGTTTATAAGGAGAAAAGGGTTAACTGCCCCCCCCAAGCATCTAACACCCCCCCTCAAGAGTTTGGAAGCCTCTATTTTTCATTCCCACCCCCAAGCAAGAAGGAATCAGGGCGACTGACACCGTAAACTTGGTGCACTCACCTTCTGACGGCGAGGAATGGCTCGGCTGCCGTGAGTCTTTCTCCAGACCCACCTCCCCTTCCCACAAATTCAGACAGCAAATCGGGAAGGCCACTCCCTGTGAGGACCTTCAAGCTCAGGTCAGCCTGCTTTTGACTTTTGTGGCTCAACCCGTGCCACTAGCTTACAATTATAATTTTATTTAAGGAGCCCCCCATGACACATGTGGACCCGGTGTTTCCACGCTAGGCTACAGAGGAAGGCTATCCCCACCCCCTCCACGAAAGCACATTTTTGGCAGACATATTCAAAATAACAAATAAAATCTCTACTGTCTTCCATGGAGGAGGCAGACCAGAGAAGGGCAAAGAAGGGGGTGTGAGGGGTCCCCCCCCCACCTTACAAGTCCTTCTTTTGCTAGCTGGCGAGCTCACCTGCTGGGCGTTCTACGCATCCGATACCTGGGGCACCTGTGGCGACCAGGTGAACCTCTGGAATCCAAGACCAGCTTCAGAGATGATGCTTCTTTTAAAAAACCCGGCTCTCCAAAGCAATGGGTGAAACCCTGAAGCTACTCCATTCACACTAACTAGCACAAGATTTTTTTTTAAATTAAAATAACAATGAAAACGGGCTCCCCAGATACACTTGGGTCCCAAGAGGGAACCCCGATCGAACAACTCGAAACCTGCCCATTATCAATCAATCAATCACTGATTATTTCAGAGTCACAGATAAGATAGCTCAGTGGTTTAAGGCCTCTGGAAATGCAAAGCCAGAGACTGGGAGTTCGATTCCCCCCCACCCCTGGTGGTGCCTCCTTGCTAAGGGCTGGACTGGATGATCCGTAAGGTCCCTTCCAGCAGTTCTAAGATGATGATGATGATGATGATGATGATGACCGATTATTAAACGATCGCTTGCCTGGGGCTAAGGAATTCCTGGATCTGGTCCTCCAAGATAACTCAGGAAGGTTACCTTGAGCCAGCCACTCTTTAATCCCCTGTCCTACCTCGCAGGGTTGGAGGGAGGGCAGAAGAGATGCCTCCCCCCCCCAAAAAAAACCTCACCCTAGCCCCCTGGAAGGAAAAACCAGGATTAAATGAAGGAAGGAAAAGAATAAGAATAAGGCAGAGAGAGGCTGAGAGAGGGGAACCCTCGGGGTCCAGCCAGCCGATCTCCCCCCCACCCTGTCCTACCTGGCAGGGCGGTTGTCCCGAGGGCTTGGATGGGACACAGACCCATCCAGGTGAAACACGTGGGGTAGTTCCCTCTCCCACCGATAGGGGGCGAGCAAGGTCTCGCCGGGTGTAGGGTGGAAATCTCGCGAGATCTCCTCTTGCGGTGAGGGGAGGAGGGGAGCCCGCCCGGCCAAGGTGACCCCCCCCGGCCAGGCCCGCCCGCCCTCCGTTGAAAGTCGGTGTCCCTCCGTCCCTTCTCACCTTCGGCACCCACGAAGCAGCCATGGCGGGCGGGCGGGCGTCAGCACCGAAACTCCCGCTCGCCTTCCCGCGGCCTCCTCTGAAGGGGAAAAAAAGGACGAGGCCTTCCCTCCGCCGTTGCCGTCGCCGGCGATTGGCCCGCACTCCCGCCTCCCCCACCGACTCAGCCAATCAGAGCCTGCGCCCTGTTCCAGCTTGGGAGAGGATTGGTGGGAAAGCGCGGAGGAGTCCCGCCTCATCCCTCGCCCCGCCCCTCTTCCGCGGGAGGCCGCGCCTCTGCCCCTTGGCCGGCGGGGCTGAAAGGGGTGGAACAGTGGGCGGGGGTTAAGTGCTTATTTTTGCATGCCCCGCCCAGAAAGGGGCGGGGCTCACTCATATATGAATAGTAATGAATAGGCAGAATTAAAGGGCCAGGCCCGTGTGATGGAGACACGTGTTTGTAAATACACAGATCATACAGGCTAGGAATACGGGAGCAGCCCATAATAATTGCGTGTTACTTGTTACAACACAATCTTAACCGGACTTTCCTGGAAGTGAGTCCCATTCAGACGGGGGCTGTTCTCAGGCCTGGCCACCCCAGCAGAAATTCTGGGATTTCATGCTGTAGTCGTGTGTACACACATCATCATCATCATTATTATCATCAGCATCATCTTAGAGCTGCAGAAATGGGAGAAACTCTATGGATCATCAAGCCCAGCTACTATTTTGGGGGGAGGGGATCGAACTTCCAACCTGTTTAAACTGCTGAGCTATCCAGAAGTCGAGTAGACTATATTCGAGAGGTGAAAGGGAAGAACCAAATTCCAAATAAAAAAGTAACATGGAGCTCAGTGCTTTAAGTACATTTGGCGGTTGGGACTCCGATTCCCTGCTGCACCTCCTTGGCAAGTATTGGACGTGATGATCCATAGAGTCCCTTCCTGCTCTGCATTTCTAAGATGATGATGGTGATTATAGAAGTCCTAGTTCACTGTGACCTAATAGGGGGGAAAAAGATTCAAAGGAATAATTCTATATCAATATGTGAATGATTAATTTACTGTTTGTTTCCGATCAGAATAAACCTTGGTTGATAGTCTAAGGTTCAATTTGGCTTTTGATAAGCTTTTACTTGGCTTTGCAAACTCCAGGCAATCTTGAGGACTCTTGGCAAACAATTCAACAGGAAAATGGTGTGTGTGTGTGAGACGAAAGACATCTACTGAGAACAGGGTGTGACCCTGCAGGTGGAAATGCTGTTACTATATACAGTACTGTACAAGGAATGCATTTATCCTGCTGGAATAATTGGTGCAAATCATCCAGAATGATCACTACCAAGGCAACTCGGGCCATTCACAACAAAACGGCCAACAATGACGCATTAAATAATAACCACATAACAACAGTGTAGAAAATCAAAGAAACATACCATTAAACTAAAAAAAAAGACAACATGTAAACAATTCATAAAAGCAAGATGGCGGAATTCATGCTGTAAGAGTTGAAGGAACCTCTTGTGCTCTGTTCGCCAGGCATATTTTGGGTGGAGATTTGCTCTATAGATGGGGCGAAACCACAGAGAAGACCCAATTCTTGGTCGTCTCTTCCTGGGACTCTCTCGGGTCCATGACCTCAACCGTCCGGCCTGGGATAATCAAGTCGGCCGGGCAGATCTCACTGGGAGAAGTCTCCCTTTCTCTGGGTCAAGACAGTAGTCAAGGGCGGGAGACACAACGGCACTATTTTTAGAGCTGCAAGCTTCTCATCACAGAGGTATTAGGACCAAGCACTCTGCGCCATAATCCCTTGGCTGGCTAGCAATTTGCACGATGGATGGAGTTGCTTTCTTAACCTCCCTCTTCTTGCTTCTTGCCAGATCCAAGCAGAAAGCTTGGAAAGAAAGCCAAGCAAATCTGGTACTCAATCAGCTACACACACTGGCTCAAAACATCTATTTAAGTATGGGTACCTAGCAGTGGATAGAGTGACAGATTAAAACCCAGGAAGGTCTGGGTTCAAATCCCCTCTAGGCCATGGAACTTCAGGGGGATGAGGACAAAATGGATAAAACCACATTTTAAATATCTCACATGGGAAGCCCTGTTAGGATCACTATGAGTTGGTCCTAACTTGGTGGCACGCAATAGAACATATTCCATTCCAACTTTGTATACATATCTATCTATTTAAAATATTTTCACGCCACCTTTCTCCTTTGAAAAGGACCCAAGGCAGCTTACGGCGCTTAAAGACAATATTTAAGAACAAAGCAACGAGTATAGAAAGGCGGTGTACATCCTGAAAAGGTAATATTTAACTGCTGAAAATGCTAAGTCTAGAAATATTGAAGTGATGACTACATTCCCTGAGATGCAGGACAGACCTGTACAGTTTGATGCTTTAAAAAAATATCTCGCACAAGATAGAACACAGAGAGATGTGTGTTCAAGATCCTCCTCTTCCAAAACCACAAGATCATCCTCTCTCTCTTTTCCCCCCTTCTTTTCTCCAACGTGGGGGTTATTTACTGCCACCTCACGGCTCAAAGCCTTCCCTGCTTCATCATCAGGTGCAATGAGGAGGTTCCTCTTGGCTGCATTCCTCTCTATGCGCCCTGGAGACTAGAAGCAGGCAAAGAGATGCTTTCTACAGGGACTGGATGCATCTCTTCAGATTATCCCACCTTCACTGCAATTCGTCCATCGCATCCAAGGGCAACGGAGAAGGGAGCAGCCTCTCCACTCAACATTTCCATGGGATTGTAATCCTCTTGACTCCTGACTTTGTCCGGTGCTGGGTTCCATCCAGGCAGGATCTGCACAGCCACCGGCATTGCTTCGATGCAGGCGTGGGGATTTCTCTCGCCTCTGCGGAGTTGCATGCATGCTCCAAATGCCTGCAGGACAGAAAACTCCTGAGGCTTGCCATGGGATCCTTTGGCTGGCAGAGAAGATCCCTCCTTTAAGATGGGTAATAAGCAGACAATTTTTACAGATGAACAGTTAGATGCCTATCAGGTAAGCTGCCTGCCTTCCTGGGTACCTACTCTGTGCATTTATTGCTCTGTTTATCTGGCTTGTACAGACACTGCCAGGTATTTAAGTGCCAAAGACAGAAAGCCATTTCCCTTAGGGATGAAGGCAAACTAAATCATTTTATGCCTCCCAGCGCTTTTTTTAATGACACCCCCAAATCAAATTCCTGAAGGCGGCCTCCGTCTTTCCTCTCTTCCTCCGAGCTGGCCTTGGGTTTGCATTTTTTAAAAAAATGCCAAAAAATGATGATTGGGAAGGACAAGGCTTGGTGTCCAGGGCCCAGACGGAGCACCTGCTTTGCAGACAGAAGCAGTTCCTTTTGTCTAGGGCATATCCAGTTTAATACGATGGGACAGACCTCGGCTTGAGATCTTAGGGCAGAGATCAAATTTGGGGAATTTAAGTTGCTGGGTTCCCTCCCTCCCCCCCCCCGTGGTACCCCCCCCCCCCCAGGGTTTATCAAGCTGATGCAAGTGGAAGATACAGGCAACTTGGTGCCAAAGAAATAGTCACAGAATCCAAGAATCTTGAGAAAAGGACTCCTTGTGGGAATCAGACCCCAATGCGGCTAAGAGTTCTCCCAGAGACTGGAAACATAATTTTTGTTTCCGAACTACAACTCCCAGAGCCTACCAGCTGGCTCGGGGAAATTGGGAATTGTAGTTTGACCAAAATTCCCACCCCACCCTCTCTCTTTCTCTTTCTCTCTTTTGGTTCCTCCTGATCCCCAACGTATTTTATTTCAGCTCTATAATTTTGGGGGATGGCGAGAACCTCCTTTTGCAGCTGGGAGAACCAGAACTTTCTAATCTACCAGAGACCACCCCCCACCGGAGATCTGTCAGTAGATCCCAAAGGATCTTTCCCCACGCCAACCTTAGACTGCTTTTGCTTCCTTTTGGGGGACCCGAATAACTCCAGGCCGGGTGGTTTGAGGGTCTAACTAACCCCATAGGAGACAAAGTCTTGAGTCTATCAGTCTCTTCTTAAGGAGAACAGTCCCCCCATCCAACATGCAGTGACTGTTTGAGGATTCTTTCTTTTTCAACACACATCCTGTTTTGGGAGCCCAAAAAGTCTTCTATCGCATTGTCTCCCTGCTCCAGATCTTTTTCATTCGACATGAGATCCCAAAGAGGGGAAAAATATGGAAAAGGATTTGGTATGGAAAAAGTTGGAGGCCAGCCTTGACCATGGTGGAGCTTTTGAGAGTGGAAAGATGATAACAGACCTTGGATGCTTTTGGTTTAAATAAACAGAGGAAAACACACAGATGCACCTATTTTTAAAAAGCCTTTGTCATGCTCTGGTGTGCATCCTTTCAGTCGGTCATAACAGTGATTACGTATCGACTAAACATCAGTGGGGCTTCCATGGTTTCGCACGGACCGGAGATGTTCCCTCTTTTGGATTGCAGCATCCAGCATCCCCCAGCTGGCCAGGGGATTCTGGAAACTGTTGGGGAAAAAAGGAACCATTTCTGAACTATGCCGATGTGATTCCCCCCCCCCTCCAATTATAGACCACTTCCTTGTTGAGCAAACACTCCCGCAGGAGATGACTAAATCATTTTTTCTTGGGCTGGCTGGCGAAGTTGCTTGAGCTCTGTTTGGCATATAGGGGTTCTGGTGCCAAATCCGGATGGCCTCTCCTGCCTTAATGTGGACTGGACAGCTATTAGGCTCAGGAGGTTTGATAATGTAATGTTAATTCTTCATGCTGTATTGGCTGAAATCCAGGAGTAAGTTGCAACCTCTCTCTGTGTGTGTTTTTCTGTGCTGTCATGTTGGAACTGATGTATAGCAAGCCTTATAACGAGATATTTAAGGAGTGGTTTTACCAGTTCCACTCTCCCTGTTGAACTTTCATGGCTGAATGCGGATTCAAACCTAGTTCTCCAGAGTCCTAGTCCGTTGTTCTATCCAGAACACCACGCTGGGAATCTCCAACTAGAGTAAGCCCATTGAGTCAGTGGAATTTACATAGAGGATGGCTCACCACATTCCCTACTGACTCAATGGGACTCCTCTAGTGGTGACTTACTGCTGGGTTCCAGCCCTTACACTTGCTCCCATTTCCTGCCCTGGTAACTAATTACAGCTGATGGTGTGACCTGTAACTTGTTACAGTGGTGCCTCGCATTACGATGTTAATTCATTTCAGCGGAATCGCTGTAGAACGAAAATGTTGTAATTCAAAAATAAAAAGCCAATTGAAACGCATTGAAACCCCTTCAATGCGTTCCAATGGGCTGGAAACTCACAGTCCAGCGAAGATCCTCCATAGGGCGGCCATTTTCGGTGGCTGTTTTGCGAGGAATCCGTCCAAAAACACAGCAGGGAGCATTTTATTTACCCGGCAGCCATCTTGAAACCGCCGATCAGCTGGAGGAAAATTGTCGTTTTGCGAAGAATCGGTTTCAGAAGCAGGGAACTGATCATCGCAAAGCAAAAAAACCCCATTCAGACCATCGTTTTGCGATTGCAATTGTGATCGCAAAAAGGTCGTCGTAATGCGGTTTCGTCATAATGCGGGGCAATCGTAAAGCAAGGTGCCACTGTACTCCCAAGCTTTTATGTTGTCGGGGAATTTCTGTAGTCCAAGAAGCAACATTTCCAAGGTCTGAATTTGCAGTTGAAAGATCCTGCTTGTAGAAAATGTGTCTGATTTCAGGGTGGAACAATTACAGGGGAATGCTAAACAGAGTGGTGAAAAACCTTTCTTAATCATTAAATCCTGAGTGCATTACAACCCTCTGCACATTACACATAATACATTATTATAACTGAAATGATAGCAGTGTACCAGAGCCATGATCATAATTCCAGTAAACCTTTGTGTCTGAAAAATAAAATTTGCCAAGGAAATGTGTGCTTCGGCTTTGTGATTGATAAGGCCAAGCACAAAACAAAGCCAGTTAATGTGAAGCCTCTGGGGTGTGTGTAAAGCTCCTGCCATGACAATCAGATGCTTTCCACAATTAAGGAATTTCCTTTTCCAATGATGTGCTGTCCATAAGGTATGGTTTAGCTTTTTAAATGAATTGCTTCTGAATAGACCTTCAGAATAATAGGGGTAGATTTCTTGCAGTCAAGAAGGGCCTGCTGGCCTCTCAGCTGTGGAAAACATGGATGGCTGGTCTAATTATACAGCTCACAGCTTAGGAGAAGTGGCGGGTGGGAAGATGACATTTATATTTAAGTGCTCATTTTATATTCTTAAAAAAACCTGTTTTGACAGGGAGGTATCTACATGATGCATACTTTAACGAGGAACCCATCATGTTGGATCTTAATATTGTGTAGAGAATCAGGAACAATTATGTTTTCAGACATGCATCAGTCACGTGGCATAATAAAGACCAGGAAGTTTTACTGGGCATAAGTTTTAACCCCTGCAGATACCTCTTTGGACAACTAAGCGATCCCAATAAAGATATTACGAAACTCTGGATTTTATTTCTGTCCACGGCTCATGTGGCTACTGATTTTCCAGTCTTAAAGAGAAACAGGTTATTTTGCATTGGCTTTCGTGGACTGCAGCCACGCCATCTGACCCGGGTGGATCTGCACCTGCTGAAGGATTTGCCACATCGACCTCCTTGAGTATTTAAGATGCAAGAGACTGACTGATCGCTCCCCATCCCTGGGAGGTTCCTGATTCGATAAAGAGGCTCAGATCCTTGAATATACCTTTTATTTCTTGGGGATTTTGATTTTTTTTAAAAAAGAAAGGTGACATTTTCCTTCAATATATAGTAGTAATAATAATTTGAGAACTGCAGAGCTAGAAGGGATCCTATAGATCATCAAGTCTAGCCCGTGTCAAGGAGGTCCAGTGGGGGAATCGAACTCCCAACCCTCTGGCTCCACAGCCAGATGCCTAAACCACTGCACTCTCCAGCAGTTCAATGGGGTTGCCACGCCATGTGTTTTGAATTAACTTTATCCTCTTCTCTTTCCTTCATGAAGGAAGGAATTATGATGTGTTCATTAAGACATTCTTGGCCCCAGAGTAATTTTCTAGCTCAGCGAACCTGCCTGATCAAACCTGAATGATTCATCTCCATATTTCTCCGGCCCAAAACATTTTAATTAAATTGGAATTCAATTGCCAGAACACCAGCTGCTGCAGCAGCAAAAAACAACAACAACAACTCTACTGTAAAAATAAAAAGCAAAGCTGGCTTCTGCTTGCGAGGAGACCCTGGGCCAGCCTTCTTGAACAGCAACAACACTTTCTGAATAGCACTTGTTATCTAATGCTTATGAGATGGTTCATAAAATAAAATGGAATGTCGAGTTCACTAAACCAGTGATTGGACTTTTCATCTCCACCAAGACAGGTGTTTTATAAAGTTAATGGGACTTAATTGCCCATTTGAGACCATGCCACCCCCGAATAGTTTGCATTCAACTAGGGTGGCCAGCTGTGAGGTTTGTCCCTGAGACTCTGGTTTTGGATATACACAGCCTCACTGTGTATTATCGCTATCAGTCTGAAAAAAGATTCTCGGAGGCAAATCTTGGTTAGTGCCATGCTAGCCTTTAAATTCATCCCTGTGTGACAAACACAACTTTTTGCAATGGTTGTTGAAGGTTGGGTCTCCTCTGACACAATGGAGACTGCACCATGCCGTGGACTTTGATTCCGTGGGTGAGTGATGAATCCTCTGTGGGTTTTTGTCCAAACTTTAAAGGAAGCATCCAATGTGTGACATCCTATTCCCTGCTTTTAAAAAAAGCTCAATAGATTGGATAGCCTTTGTATTTCAGACTAAATCCTGGAGCAGATCTCCTGGCTCCCTGAAAAACTGCAGCCACCAGCTTCCAGTGTCCTCGGGACATCCCATAAAAGTGCTCCCCTTAGGTTTTTGGTTTGGGTCCTAAAATCTCAGGGAACAGGATGCCGGTGATTCGGCTACCCCACTTCCAGCAATATATTGCACTCCAAACTTCAATATATGGCTGCTTGAAAGAACTCTCCAAGGTCCTGAACAGGGTGGGCGAGCAGAGTTCAGCACCATGGACAGCTCATGGAAAGCGTGGAGTAAACCCTGAAGTGGATTTACTGCCCTACTGACACAGGTGCCACTAATCTCTACCCCACCCCACCTCCGGCTCCAGAATGCCACGGCTCAAGTCCTAGAAAGCGGCTGCCATTCATGGCCATCCAGAACGAGATGGGCAATGGCCCCATGTAGATATGGTCACAATGCGATATCCGTTGCATCCAAGTAAAACTAAACCTATGTATGCGACCCAAATAAGCCTTCTTGGTTTACCCTTCTTGGTTTACCCTTCTCTCCTTCCTCTGCCTGTTCGGTGCCCATGGGAATTTTCCACCACCCCAATGGCTGATTATATATGGTGGTGAGCAGAAATAAGATTCCAGCCACCATAAGTCCATTATGACTGTCCTTTCCCTGAGCAATTAATAGCTTTTAACAGATTTTTTTTTAAATGGGTTTCAGTCATCTAAGATTTTGGGCCTGCACTGCAGGGTTGCAGTGCAGAAGATCTCTAGCTGGGCTGCCGCCAGCCATGTCCTCTCCCAGTCTATTCCTCTTCATATGTGCTGGACAGCTCAGTGGTTTAAGTCTCTGACTGTGAAGCCAGAGGTTGGGGGTTCGATTCCTCCACTGGGCCTCCTTGACAGGGGCTGGACTAGATGATCTATGGGGTCCCTTCTAGCTCTACAGTTCTAAGATGAATATTCTCCTTTCCACCAACAGACTTCTCTGGCCCCTCACTTACAGTCCTCATTGGGATGGTGTCTTCAAATCTCCTTCTCACTAAATCTTCTTTGCAATGATTTCCCAGAAAACCTGGGTCTTCCCCCAGTTTGCTGGCGGATCCCTGTCTGTGTAGCTGTTGTTGTTTCTGCTATTGGAAATATTAACCCTCTAGTAATGAGTTCACATTGATTTTGGGAAAAAAGGATGCAAAAGAGCGGAGAATATAAAGAACTGAGGGCTCTTTGTCCACGTGAGCTTGCTTATTGAAGCAATAAAACCTTTCTCTTTTAAAGACAGAAGTGTAGAACTTGGACAAAACATCATCAAACAGAGTGCAGGACACATAATAATGGGCTCAAAAGAGCGGAGAATATAAAGAACTGAGGGCTCTTTGTCCACGTGAGCTTGCTTATTGAAGCAATAAAACCTTTCTCTTTTAAAGACAGAAGTGTAGAACTTGGACAAAACATCATCAAACAGAGTGCAGGACACATAATAATGGGCTCAAACGAGATGAAGCCAGATTGAGTCTGAATGTCAGGAAAAAACGTCTTAACTGTTAGAGTAGTACAACAATGGAATCAATTAGGTGGGGTGGCAGTGAGCACTCCAGTGCTGGAGGCATGCAAGAGGAAATTGGACACCCATCTGTCAGATCTGCTTTGATTTGGGTTCCTGCATTGAGCAAAGAATGGTAGGGACATAAAAGAAGCAGAAGCCATCAAGAAGAGGTGGCAAGAATACACAGAGGAATTATATCAGAAAGATTTGGGTATCCTGGAGAGTGGAGGTGATGGCATTCCAGTGGAACTATTTAAAATCTTAAAAGATGATGCTGTTAAGGTGCTACACTCAATATGCCAGCAAGTTTGGAAAACTCAGCAGGGGCAGAAGATTGGAAAAGATCAGTCTGTATCCCAATCCCAAAGAAGGGCAGTGCCAAAGAATGCACCTCCTGGCGAATAGAAGGGGAAGATGACCAGATAGGTGGGGTATAAATTGAATAAATAAATAAATGAAATTAACAACTAAACAACAACAACAATTGAGCAAGGGGGGTTGGACTTGATGGTCCTCTGGGCCCCTTCCAACTCCATTATTCTATCAGTCCGTGATTCTGTGTTTAATGGGATGTCTGCTTTCACAGCCTGAATTGTCTACTTCTTAATAAAATTCTATTTTCTAATAAGCAGAGTTTTCAAAAAAATCTACTTCAAGTGTTTATATTTTGAGAGCCAACTTCAAACAGCGCTGATAAAGCATCACAACTCTTCTGTGTTTCCTGTTGGTGGGAATGATGGAAGCCAATTTAGGAAACTTAAACTTTGTTTTCATAGAGTTTTCATGGAACATGAAGAGTTTTGTTCCAACTTTGAGATGATTTCACCAGCGAGACTGCTGTTTGTAAAATGTTGCAGTCTCCTTGATGGTTCTGTCACCTGCAGAGAGAAAACAAAGTTTCTTCACTTGTATATATTAAGATAATGTATATATACCAGCCCACTGAGATGACTCACAGTGGAATTCTATGCATTTCTACTTAGAAATGAGCACTACTGTATTTGGTCCAGTAGTTCTTAGTCCCAACATAGCGTGTCTATAGGATACACCATAAGACTGCAGTCCTAAAACATTTTCTAGGGAATAAGCCTCCTTGAACAGATCAGCATCTCTCTCTTACCAAACATGGATAAGATCATCCATGGACTCAAAGTAGCTAGAGAGAGAGGGAGGGAGGGAGGGAGGGAAGGAGGCCTTTTTGCATTGCACCACAATTCCCATTGCTTCCAATAATCATCTGGTTGGGCACGATGGGAATTGTACTGCCACACATTTGGACAGATCCAGGTTGGAAAAGCCTGCTGGAAAACTCTGTTTAGGTCTAAAGCTTGCTAACTGGTTCACAGGGAGTAATTGGTTACTCTTATCATTGCATTTTTTAAAAAATAAAGTCTCTCTTTACATTCATGTTTTTGCAAATGGGACTAAAGGGTTCCTTTTTTACTTCCCTCAAATAAATAAATAAATGTCTTAAAGGCTCGAAGCCAGTGGCCTCTGGAATGGAGCACACCCGCCTCCTGTTTTTTGTTATCCAAATATTCACGTTTATAACTGCAGCTTTACTATTGCAAAAGGAACTAATTGCAAGTAACTTGTTATTTACAGCCCATTGCTTCCTTTCTCTAGGTGTGACGTGACTGTGCCGATAGAAAGCAAGCAGTGGCCCTTCGTTTCTCCAAACATTCTGTTTCTTTTAAAAAAATTTAAAAATCAAAACCAAAGAAAACAACTCATTTTTTAAATTGTTCCCTTTTCTTTACAGGATTGCACCTTCTTCACCCGAAAGGAGGTCCTTCGGTATGTAACCGTCCCCTTTTTCACACTGATTGATTTGTTCACTACATTTATACCCCGCCTTTCCTCTGTTGACCTCAAGGTGGCGTACGGGAGTCTCCCCTCCCTCCGTACTTTATCTGAACAGCAACCCTGTAAGGTAGGATCAGTTTAAGAGAAAGTGACTTGGTCACCCAGGGAATTTCATGAACAAGGGAATGCTTGAACACAGGTTTCTCCAAAACAACACGGGCCCTCTGCACTAAACCTAACCAGCTCTTTTATAGAGAGGAAGCACACCATTTCCTATAAAGCAGTGAACTCTGTACAAAGTGGTGTTCCCACGCAGCAATTAACCATCCTTCATGGAAGGTGCAGAGGAACACTCTTCCAGGGTTTGTTTGATACCTGGGTGTTTGTGCCCAGATCACACTCCTTCTGAATGAAGAACTGCAGCTATAAAGTGCGGGATTTCCCCAGCGCTGGTGTAGGTAAAGGTCAAGGTTCCCCTTGACATTTAGTCCAGTCGTGTCCAACTCTAGGGCGTGGTGCTCATCCCCATCTCCAAGCCATAGAGCCAACGTTTGTCCGTAGACAGTTTCTGTGGTCACGTGGCCAGCGCGACTAGACAGGAACGCTGTGACCTTCCCCCCGTGGTGGTACCTATTTATCTACTCGCATTTTTACGTGTTTTCGAACGGCTCGGTTGGCAGGAGCTGGGACGAGCGACGGGAACTCACACCATCGCGTGGATTCAATCTTACGACGACTGGTCTTCTGACCTTGCAGCACAGAGGCTTCTGCGGTTTAACCCACAGCGCCACCACGTCCCATTTTCTGCCTCTGGACTGCCCCAAATACCTAAAATTATCAAAAAACTAAACCCGCAGCGCCACCACGTCCCTCTCAGCGCTGGTGTAGCTGCACGCTATTCCATTTCGCTGTGTGAAACGGTGCTTAGCCCAAACCTTTTCTGATGCAGACCTTTTCCCTGGCATTATAGGATTTCGCTGTAGGCGAAACAGAGCAGACACTTCTGTGTGCAGTGAACCCGAAAAAGGTAAAATAAAAGTGAACAGTAATTCTCTGTCCGGCCGAAATGCAGGACGTGACGTTCCAACAGGGAGCATAGATTTGCAGAAGAACAGAATGTGTCATGCGGGCAGTGGAGGGTGGAAACAGGAGAACTGGGCAAAGAGCTACAGACTTCCCAAAGTGCTTCATGGGTCCTCTGTTACTTTCACTCTTTCCGTGCAAATGCCTCTTCTATGGAAATGCTGGCTGTCCTGGTCGGAGCGCGGATTTTCTCATGCCTCGAATGATCTCCTTGATTTTCCCAACCCAGGGGCTTGTGAACCTATCCGTGGGCACACCAAAACACGATCTCAAAATTACTGGTGTCTACAGATCTGAGATAATTCGCATTCCAATTCAAAACAGAGAGAAAAACGCCAAGGAAAAAGAAAAAGAAATCAGGGGGAAAAAAGCAAGTTTTCCTATACCAAGAACTTCGCTTTGCGTGCCAGAACTGAATTCTGGTGTGCAAAGCAAAGCATGCTGTTTATATACCACCCCATACCACTTAAAGCACTCTCTTGTCAGTTTACAATTTAATTATGAAGCTACACGCCCCCCCCCCGGTACTCAGTTTACAGACCTCAGAAGGATGGAAGGATGGGTGAATGGGTGAACCCTGTGCTGTCTAATTGGGATTTAATCCGTAAGCAGAGTTTTGGATGCAGTACTGCAGTTTAACCACTGCACCTTGGGGCTTTATGTTACTTGGAACAGTCTCCAAGCCAGGCTCTCCAGGAGAGTCCGAAAAGACAGTCTGTTGGGTTGAGCCATACTCACCAAAGCAGCTGTGATGGCCTTAGTCTCTCATCAGGAGCATGTCTTTGGTGAGGTTAACGCGTCTTGATTTCCCATTCAAGACCTAAGTGCTCACAAATGCATTGCAGAAGAATAGGGGAAACGGTATTTTGTTCTTCAGTAACAACACATGGTGGCTGGAAATATTCATTCCTTTCTTCAGCAACTGCGTGCATTGCTGCTAAGCTCATAGGGGAAGGGCAAGTGTCTCTCTCTCTCTGGTTTGGACCAGAGCACGCCAGGCCCTCCTGTCTTCCACTGCCTCCCGGAGTTGGGTCAAATTCATGTTGTTCGCTTTGGTGACCCTGTCCATCCGTCTCGTCCTCTGTTGTCCCCTTCTCCTCTTGCCTTCACACTTTCCCAACATCAGGGTCTTTTCCGGGGAGTCTTCTCTTCTCATCAGATGACCAAAGTCTTGGAGCCTCAGCTTCAGGATCTGTCCTTCCAGTGAGCATTAATTGTACACCCCACCCCCAATATATTCTTCAGACGTGCCCTGCAGATCATCATCATTTGCATTTTGGGAAAGCAAAGATGCAGTTCAAAGCCGTGGGCTGTTCATAGACTTGACAAGAAAACCCTTAAAGAAAAAGGGACAAGTCAGGCAATGGAGAAACAAGCCATTTTAGTGGAACAACTCCAAGCCTGCCTAGATCTCATCAAGAGCCTATCTATCCGCTATATACTTTTTTGCAACAGCAGAGAGGAAGGTGACACTAGGAAGCTAGGAAGAAGGGAGGAAGGTCATGGTTTGCTTTTTCTTGCTGCTCTCCAACAAGTAGCGTTCAAAAAGGTAGCCAGGTTTGCTGGTTCGGACATTCTGGGACTTGCAGTTACTGAACTTGAAGTTACTTCTGCCTGTCCCCGCATCCTTTCTTCAACCTAGCATGTCCATTTCAACTGCCATCTTATTCCAACTAAAATTTCCAGGATTAATTTTAAAAACCCTGCATCTGGAAAACCCTATCCAAGCTATTTGCTTTCACAGACATTGGTGCTTATTTTGATGCTAATTTGAAGACGGCTCTAAACGGAAGAGAATGATTTATGCCTGCCCACTGAAAAGAAAATTAATGTGGTCTAATATCACATTAGCAGCATCCAAAGAGTCACGGATAATGGATGGAGAGACAAAGCAGACCTAGCCAGGGAGATGAGCAGACCTTGGCTTGAGGGCATGGAGAGGAGGAAGCAAAACTAGCAAAACATCCACACGACGCACCAGAGGGAAAGCTTAGATTTTCTTTACTGCGATTCCTGCCGCTTCCTTTTTGAGACTGCTGCCTCCCGCTCACAGAAGGCAGCTTGAGGATGATTCTTCCAGAATTTGGTTGAGTTCTTGGTTTGATCAACGACTGCTAGGCTCTCCCAGACTGCTGAGTCAGGCCATGTTTGGGAGGTATGGGCTGAAATCCTGTTTATGGAACAAATGCCACATAAGGCTGAGGAGGTCACCAGCAGTGGTGGTGGTGGGGGAAGCGCCATTTATTTTGGAAATTTTAAAAAATCCCAATTCCTCCCTGAGGATCCAAGTCTTCCTTGGTTCTTTGCCATGTACAGAGTTTCTAGGTCAGAAACTCTGTACATGGTCCCCTGAAATGGCAGGACTTTTCTTCGCGTGAGGAAGGATGAGATGCAAGTCAAAGCAAATTAAGTAGAGAAATAAAACTTCAGCATCTTGAGTTTCCTTCTTCTTTGGATGGCGAGGGAAGGACCTTCTCAAAATTAAGGCTTCAGAAACAGCAATAAATGTGGCGACCACCCCCAATGTGTGAAAGGTACCTGGTTCTCTGAATAAATGGGCTGAAATCACTTCTTGCCCTGGCAGAGAGATGGATACTGTGGTCGGCATTTGTGGGAAGAGCTAATGAGATATTGAGTGTATCTTGTCATCTAATGGCCACTCAAAGCTTCCTAATCAATGAGCCATTATCAGCTTTTATTTCTTCTCTGCAGCAGCAGCGCTGAGCTTAGCCTAGTCCGGAGTTCTCAGGACATCAACAAGGCTGTGCCCTGTGTTTAGCCAGAGAGGAGGATGAGAAGAAGAATGACAGGCATTCCTCCGTGTCTGATTTACAGGACATGCTGTGAGAAATCCTAGTCCTCTTCGAGAATTACTTCTTCGCCCATTTCTCTGTGTCCGGGCATCCATGCAGGGTGAAATGGTGTGCTTGAAAGGCTATGGCAGGAGAAATCAATTTCTCGGAAACAAGAGGCAAGGAAAAGCCATGTACGGACAGGGGAAGAGAAACTGTAGCCCTGAAATAAGATGAGTCTGAGAAAAGAAAGTGAGGCCCACGAAGTTCGAGAATTTTTTTTTGTCTGCTTAGAGATGCCTTTGTGGAGTTGCTTTGAAAAGGTTTGGAGGAATGCTAATGAACATGGGTTCTATTGTAGTAGAAGTGCTGTCGAGCTGGCTGGATAGCTCGGTGGTCAAGGTGGAGACCAGAGGTTGGGAGTTCGATTCCCCCACTGGGTGCCTTCTGGGAGAAGAGGCAGCCCGGGTGGCCTTGGGCCAGCTGCACTGGCCCAGGGATCCCCCACCCCCAGAAGAAATGGGAATTCCCATTCTGAGGACCCGGAAACCCCTTCAAAGGGCTTGCATAAGTCAGAATGGACTTGACGGCACACAGAAACGGTACCTAAGTGTCATCAAGATGATTAGGCTTGCAGACGTTTCTCCCTCTCCTCACCACAACTCAGAATTCAGAACAAATCTTCAGCTTTCTGTTTTATCTGAAGATCTTGCCCTTTCTCTCCCCCGGTGGATAAAACCGCTCTCTTTACCGAATGAGTCTTCTATGATGGAGCCGGGTAGTGCCAACACAGGGCAAAGATCCGATTACCGCTCTAGGAAGTGGAGGACGCAGGTTCCAATGCTCACTGGGTCTCGAAGTCCACAGGGTGACCACGGGCCGGGCACAGTCTGGCCTACCTCGCAGGGGGGGCTGTGATGATAAAAATGAAGATCTTCACCACCCGGAGGAAAGGTGAGATAAACGTGTTGCGACACTTCCCTAAATTGGGAGATGAGTCTAAGCTGCTTCTTAAATTTTACTTCCGATCCAGACTTAGTCCTTCAATACAGATGTCCCGGATCACCTCCAGGGCAGATCTTTGGATAATCTTGTTGTTGCTCATGTACGTCCAAGTCACTTCTGACCTTTGGTAACTCTATGAATTACACTAGGACCCCATTATCCACGGGATTGGTAGCCATTGATCCACTCATCCACAGTCTCAAAATATTAAAAATATTAAAAGAAAAAAATCCAGAAAAAAACTAGTTTTATATGTATTATCAGAACTGGCCACTAGAGGTAGCCAGAGACTATACTGTGAATAATACATCTGATGCTCTCAAGTGGCCAGTTCTGGTAATGTATGTGAAAGTACATTTTTTCTGTTTTTTCCCCCCTCCTTTTACTATATATACGAACCTATATATATACTGTATAGTGTTCGCTATTATCCATGGTCTTCAGTATCCACAGGGGGCTTGGAACCAATCCTCAGTGGATATGGGGGTCCTACTTTAATAGCTGTTAACAACTATTGTTAACAATACTGTTGTTAACAATCTGGTGCAGGTCTCAAATACCCAAGGCTTCCTTTATGGAGTCATCCATCTCTCATTATATCTTCCTCTTTCCCTACTGTGTCCAACTTCTCTGAGCATTCAAGCTGAGGTCTAAGTCTGTCGTTTGAAGGATGAGGCTGATGATTTTGTTGAGGAGGCAGGCAGGAATAGCGCAGAACCAGCCAACACACCCACATCTGTCCCCTCTAATGAACAGGAAAAATGGCTTATACCCACTTGTGTTTGTTTGTGCCTGTTTCCTTGTAGGTTGCACGGGCGCTATCACGAACTGGCCCCCAACATGGTCCCCATGGACTACACCAAGAATCCCAACGTTAAACTACCCATACAGCTCATCATAAACATGCCAGAGCTAAAGGTATGGCTTTTTTTTATTTTTTATTTTTGGAATTTAGTGGAGTGTTCCTACTTTTGCAGAACATACTCGCAACACTGTTGACTGAAGAACAAATTTGGCCATGGGTAGTTGGCCACTTCTCCTTCTTTGGATAGCAGGATTTCGAATTAAATTTGACAACAGCAGAAAAGAGAGAGGAAGAGACGATTCCTTAAGGAGGTTTCCATACATATCTCCTGTAGTTTTCAGGCGAGCTTGCTTTGTCTTGTGATTGGTCCCCAGGAGGTAAGCATGGGCTTCATTTGCATGAGCTTTGATTGCTCCGTCACAAAGGCTTGCTGGAATCACATCTCCTTCTCCATTGGATAGCTGGAGACCCACCTTTTTTAGGCAGGCTTTTAACAATCGTGATTGAGTCCCCAAATGACATTTTTTAAAAAAAGATAGCTTTTAATGTTGACCTGCTTTTTAATCCTTCAATTATATTTGAATGAGCATATAATTTAAATTTTTGTAATGTTCAACTTTTTATGTTTTTGATTCTATTCCTTTTAATGTTAAAGGTCCCCTTAGCAGGAGAAAGGTGACTTATAAAACAAACAAACAAACTGAATGAATGAATGAATGAACGAATGAACAAATGAACGAACAAACGAACGAACGAACGAACGAACGAACGAACGAACGAACGAACGAACGAACGAAT